TGAACCGTATGGGCGCCTGAACTCCAGACCCAAAGCCAACAGAACTGCACCGAACCACTGGTCACACAATTATATAGTGAATAAATGATCGACAAATAAAGTATCAAATGGTATACTCGGAGCAAATATCCCCTTTTCTATTTGAAACGCCTGTATCTGAATGTTAGTCAAACGCAATACAACGGTTTGCTTCCCAGTCTTAGACTCCATTAGATTGATGACTGGCGGTGATGGACACAAATAGGATTTGCCTAACGGTGTCGTAAACATACCGAGACTGCCCTCCACAGAACGGGCCACCTTTTTGCCACCTTTCACCGCAATTAGTAATAAATAAACATTTATTAATTAATTATATTTTAAAATTGAACCTTTAGTTGAGCCCCGGAATAATGAATCGGCCGTATTGTACAACAGGTCTATTGAATTGATTCCCCAATTACTTTCGCCCACCTTTCAGTGCATAATAAATAATGTAATCATTAAATATCGTGTTCAATGAAATGATTAAATAAAATACTTTTTCAAAGATCAATCTAAATGTGAAGCCACCAATCCATGAGACATCCAATACTAGTAATTGCAATAACACTTAATTTAAATAATTCCAATCATACGGTCTTATACTGACCTGGCTTTTCGTCCAACAAATAATCACATCTCCCTTTACTGGTGGCATCGATCGGGATTCTGTCTATCAATTGCTGCATTCAATAACCAAATTAAAGTAGTATCAGGATCATAAATATTCTAATGCGTCCTAGAATCAATTATTGGTTGTTTGCATACCTGAGTGCCTCCCTGTATATCATAGGTTATGGTAAATGAAGCTTCAATTTTGGCCAAAATGCAAATCAATCCGCTCTCATCCCAGACCGTGAATGTAAAGGCAGGTGCGGGCTGTTTGGTGGGAAGACCTAACACTGGTGTTGGCTTTGGACTCGATATGGGCGCCGCCTTTATAAACAATATTTTGTGTAGATTTGATTTGATTTAAGATAAATTCATTTATAATAACTTACTCTTCGTTGTCTAATTAAATTCTCATCAGTTTTATTGCATTTTGCAAACGATAAACAAATACAAACTGCAATCATATTTATATCATTT